CACTGTGTGAGTGTTCTCCATGGGTTATCTCACTTAATTTTACACCAACTTGGAAAGTAGAAAAAGTCAGTATTTTCCTTTGCAGCAGGGAAATTGAGGCCTGAGGAAAGTAAGTAATCTGCTCGGGTAAAGTGAAAGGAAGTGATAAAACTGGAACTCAAACTCAGGTTGCACAACTTCAAAGGCTTAACTAGGAGGGTTCTTCAGACCCTTAACCAAGAGGCTCCATCATTACCATGTAATTTTCAGTTATTATATACTCTCTTGACTTGAAAGCTCCAGGAACACTAAGAAATGCATACTTTGTAACCAAAGTGATTTAGCTCCCTTGATCATACTAAATGTGTGCTTTCTATATTACACCTTAATTTACATTTTATCTTTTGTTTGAGAGGCAAACAGGAGAGAAAATTTTAATTTTATCCTCTTTTTTATTTTGGATGCATGGCTGAAAGTTGTGAGATTGTCAATAGGTAGCTAGCTAGACTGATACTCTCCCAGCAAGATTAGTCTGAAGAATTTGTTTTTATGGGACCCACTACTCTCCTAGAGCCGACTGGCAGGTAGCTGTCTAGGAAAAAGTATTTCTGGATGTGAGAAATAATGAAGGAACAGTGATGATAGCACTGTATGCCAATCCATTCTTGTTACTGAATAAAGTAATGTGTTCTCTAAACTGCCTCCATTGTTTCAGCATGTACTGTGTTGTGCTTTGAGATTTAGAGTGGAAAGAGAGAGAGGAGAGAGGTTGGAAATTAGTAATTCCACTTGTGCTTTTAAAGAAAATTCTTGTGAGTCATCAAATTTAGATGATCAAATTATGTAAATATAGTACCTTCATTCTTTAAAAACCATTTTTATGTAAGAAAAAGAATGGCAAAGAGACACCTTAATACTTGTTAGGGAAAAATAATAATAAATATTAATGATTTTAGCTTTATTCATTGTCTGTGTACTTATCGAGTGGCTAAAATATATCAGGTAACATGCTAATTACTTGGGGTGCGGAGGAATAAGAAATCAAAACTCTTGCCCTCTCTAAATTGATAGCAAGTAAACAAATACTTAGAGGTAATGAACAAAATTAACTTGGCATCGCGACACAAGGAAACAAGAACGGTCTTGCAGGTAATGTGAACAAGTGTTGGATGAGACTCTTAGCTGGAATACGAAATGGGAGGCCTTTGGCCTAAATAAACTGTTTTCAGGAAACTATTTTCCACCTAGCCTGGCATCAAAAGCAACTGTAGCTCCATTAACTTTTCTTTTTTTATATACAGCTTGATACTTTCTTGATCTGCTTTGATTATTTTTTTCAGTTACAATATGGAAAGGAACTTAAGAGTTTGCTCCTGTGTCCCCTCTAAACAAAAGGCCCCTCAGGGGTATGAGGGAGGATGAGGCCTAAGAGAAAGTGGCTGCAAATACTGTCAGCTTAGGGAAGTCCCTCAGGTTTGGGGGAGATAGCTGTCAAATGACTTGGGCAAGCTTGTTATGGGGCAGACATTTTAAACACACTTAACTCAAGAGAAATTTAGATACTAAAGATGGTAATTCTGACTCCATTCATGAATAATTCTAACTAAAGGAGAAAGGAACTTTGGGGAATAGATTTAATCTCAAATGCCAAATCAGACTGAATGACAGCAGAAGCTGTACTGCCATTTGAGAAGGATTTTGAGCCTTATCTGGATACCACTGATGACATTAAACCCCGAATACACTGATGTTATGTCCAAATCTTGCTGTATGACAAACTCCCTAAGTGAATGAATTAGGATCCAAAATAACCTACATAGGCTAACTCAGTGAAACAAAGCCAGCAAGATGAAGACTAATGAGAATAACACTGTATTGCTGCATTTAAATTCAAAAGTAGTGATGGGTTACATTTTGGGATTGGGGAAACTTGAAGGGGGAGCACAAAAGATGAGACATATGAATCTATAAGATGATGGGTCTACAAAGCATTCTAGAACAATTGTGGGCGCTAGAGTTGAACAGCATGGCCCGACATCAGTCACTCTACTGGAACTGCATTTTAAAGTGTCTTACTTTTAGCTTGCTGCTGTGCATGAGCCTCAAGTTTCTGGAGTTGCATCAAATAATTTTGCTTTTGAAAAAGTTTGTATGTGTTTTGCCACATGGGTCCTATCATTAGACACACCCACACGCACTTCGGGAAGAATTTCATCCATATGGTATATTCACTGGCAGTTAACTTATCAAAATCACTATTGTGTCAGAACCACTTGATTTCCAACTTTGCCATTTAAGTTGTTCCAAAAAGCCTCCTGGAAACTTATTTTCTTGAGTTAGGATTTGGATGTTAGTAGAAGAAGTAAAGAAAATGTGGATTTTTCAGTTTGAATTTAACACAAAAGGAACTCAAGAATTTTAAGCTTGTTAGGAACCATTCTTTTAAAACCACGTTGGCCTTTATCACCCTCTTAAGGATAATGGTGGTGATGATTGATGATGATAATGATGATGATTGTGGTTATTCAACTGATGGGGTTTGGTTATTTTCTGATTGTTCTTGGAACAAACTCTTTCCTAATAACTATGATTGCAAAAATAGATCAAGCATGAGAACTGGAAGGGAAAGTTAGAAAATAACAAAGGATAGTTGGACTAGAAGGATTGGCACACACAAAGGGCATTAAATTTGTGAGCAGAAGACATAGTCTGTGAATAAATTTTCTAGGGAAAAGAAATTTAATTAGGTTCCACTTTGTTTTTCTTTTATAGATAGGCAAGTTTGAGGGTTAGGAAGCCAGCAACTGGTTTGGTTACCCCATTCAGAGACAACTGTTTTGTAAATCTAAATTGTACCAATAAAATTTAAAAATTAAGAAAATGACCTGGCTTAACCTAACGCAATAATTTCAGGTTGGAAAACAAATTTCTGATATCTGTATAGAGGGCATTAGTTATTGGCTTGATTATTTTTCATATTTCCCTACTTAATTCCCTTCCCACCAGAAAAGTAAAGTTAGCAGTCTCTGGCTTCTTGAATAAGTAAGTAAAACCAACCTACAGGTAGACTTGAAATCACAATTTTGATCTTAAACTGGACACGGTCTACTGATTGGATCTACTCCTGTTTTAGGTCACTTCCCAGTTGTCTTCTGACCCAATAAGTAATGATCAATCATTGACATAGTGAACAATTTTACTTTACATATTTTGTATATTTTCTTTTTTCTCCTAGATATGAGAAGAGAGCCATGAAGAATTTTAGCTAGATTGAGATTCATGAAAAGTTACATGATAGGTAACAAATTAGAAGGAAAAGTACAGATAGTTGCAACATGGGTAGTGTAGTGGGTATGATAAAGGGCCATTGGGTGATATCCAAGCAGTGGATGGAAGGGAAGAGAGGAGGATTTCTCACTCCAATCTTACAGCCTCTGGAGAGTATTATTTGTTCTGCATGCAATTATTATTCTAGAACAGTAAGCTTCAAACAGGCCATGCCTCATCTCCTCTGCTTTTTCTGGCTGAAGAACTTTGAACATTTCTTAGTGACGAGATATCACTACTGTAAGTTATTGGTTATAACAGGCACAAGGAAGTTGCAAATTCATGGCCACTAGGTGTTTATTTTTTCAAGGGTCCATAAAAATGTGTGTTTACCCAAGCAACTCTTTATAATTATTCTAGGCCTGGGCTTCTTTCTGAGTTTCCAAACTCTCTCTAAAGCTGATACAACTGGCACCAATATTTCATAAAATAGCAAAGATGGTTTTGATTTTGAAAACAAAAATGTAAGTGGCACTTTTATAAGAGAAGAAAGAAAACATATTAAAAAATCAGTATATCTTTGCAATATATGACATTTATATTCTTTTTAGGAAATTGCTCCATATATATAACATATCTTGATCACCTCAATCCCTCCCTCTCCCTCTTCTCTTGATCCTATTTCCCTTCTCCAGAGACATACATTTTTGAAATGCACAAGAGCTCATTGTGTTAGGAAGAAACTTCCTAGATACCTGGCAAACCAGACTTACTTCATGAACAACTTCTAAGACCAGTCAGATTCAAAGACTTTTCTAAAAAGCCCTGAGATTCATTTATATACTGTGGGTTCTCTCATTTTTCCATTGGTTTGGTTACTAATTCCAACCCATCTGGCGCAAAGAGTGTTTCAGTAGGGGAAGGGGAAAGTTATGGTCTAACATTCTACCCAAACAAAGAAATACAAAGAATCATATTTCAAAGATTTTTTCCCATATTGTCTAATCCATTCTTTGACCAACATAGTGGTATTCTTTGAGTCAACAAAAAGGATTATACTGTTTTTTAGAAATTAAAAATTATATCACTGTCTGAATTCATTGTACATGAATGAAAATCCTAAGTTCCTTTGGAAAGCTCTTTTTAAAAATAGTCTAAGGGTTTGCCTTATTTTCCTTTAATTTATTTGATATTTCCATATCTCTGTCATGTCTAAGCTCAATTTTAAAAAATCTCATCCTATGTGTCTTTTGGTTATTACTTATTTTTACTTGTATTTGTATGACATCATTCATCGAGGTGTACCTATAGCCACAGAATAGGAAACTGTTATGAAACTTTATGAATAAAGTGCAAAGTCAAAGATTGCCATATTAAGCAGCAAAAATAAGGACTAATGGAAGAATCTAATTGCCTTCTGTTTATTAATTTAGCAAATATATTTATATGTGCCAAATGTGTTGCTGATGTTGAGGACTATGGGATAAATGAGACATATAGTGGCCTTATGCAGGTGGAGTTTCTTTGCAAATGGAGGTAGGCAGACAATAAGCAAGCCAGACAAGCAGATGAAGAAACCATCTGAGAGTACTGCACAGAGAACTAAAATTACACAAAGCAGAGAAGTAACTGGGTGACAACTTTAGATTGAATCAGCCAAATTCTCTGAGGACATTTAAGTCCTGAACTCAGTGACATAAAGCAACTTATTTTGTGCATGGATTCTCTGGGTCAGGAATTCTGAGAGGGGCTAGTGGAGATGTTTGTCTTCGAATCACCATGTCTTGAGTCTAGCTGGAAGATAGGCTGGGCACAGCACCATTGGAGAGCTTGCTCACTCACAGGTCTGGTGGTTGATGCTGGTTGGCAGGGCGTGGTAGCACATTTACACTGGGCCCCTCCATGTGGTCTTGTCTCCTCACTGTGCAGTGGCTGGGTTCCAAGAATGAGTACCGCAAGAGAAAAAGTGAGCCGTTGCCAGATCTACCAGTTTTTATGACCTAGTGACGTTTCTGCCATATCCTATTGGTAAGATGATCGCCAAGATTCACCCAGGTTCAACATGAGGAAACAAAGACCCCGTCCCCCATCTCTTAATAGAAGAGTGTCACCATCCCATTGTGGGAAGAGCACTGGGATGGGATCTACTGCAGTAAGAGCATCTTTGGAAAATCTATTCTATCACAGTCTAAATGTGAAGATGGAGTTAGAAATATGAAAATCAAGAACATTCCAGGCAGAGGCTTAGGTAAAAATTCACTTGGTTTACATTTGAACCACAGATAGAAGAAGGTCAAGGTAGCAGGATAGAAAGAGCAAGGGAAAGAATGAATTGAAAAGGGGGTGGTGACATGATTATGAAAAGCTGTCTTCACTTTAGGCAAAAGGTAAAGACGACTGGGTTTGTTTGTCCTTTTTCACAACTTCTTATGCCTTTGGGTGGGTGTGTCACTTTGGGCTTTTGTCTCTCTGGATTTTCACAGCACTTACAGTATTCTTCTCAGTAATGCTTTCGTTTGAAATCCCCCCAGGTCTGAATGCTTCCAGTACTGGATATTAGATAATGTGGAGAATATACAGAAACATTTTATTTCTCCAGCCTTTCAAGAGGCTTTTAATTTACCTCGAGAGATGAATAGACATGTACATGTACACACATAGGGATATTGAATATACATCAATGGAAGTTGTGTGCAGCATGAATCAAATATAAAAATATGGGCAAGAATCGTGATTCATAAGTCAAAAAAGATCATCAAATGTCTAGGATGGATGTATGGTAATTATAAAGGAAAATACTGTACATTTACCTATACCAATGTCTAAAACTTCTAAATAATACTAGGAAATTCCATACACAAAGTAAAATTGTAAGTGATAAACTAAGACAAAAAATTTGCTGCACATGTGACAAAGGCTATCTTTATATACAGATAGCTTTTGCCATTCACTGTGCAAAACAGAAAAGTCAAAAAAGAGCAAAGATAAAGTGGAAGCTTAGAGAAAAGAACACACAAATAATCAATAAGCACAATAAAATGTTCAACTTTATCATAAGAGAGGAAATACAAAGAAAAGCAATGTGCTTTACTAAATTGACCAAAAATATCAAAAGCCATTTTTTACTTATAAGGACAATCCTAACATTTGATAAAATTTGTTTTTGGTGAAAATGTGGGATATCAGCCTTGTACAATATCAGTCTAAATTTTTCAATGGAAATATGGTAATATTTATTAGCATTTAAAATGTCTTTGCTTTGGCATTTCAGTATTTGAAAATAATATTTGGATGTTCTTATTCCTATATGCAATGATGTATGTTCAGAGATACTGATTTTATGTTATTTTTAAGAGTAAAAATTTAAAATTTCCTGGATACCTCCATTAGGAGACCAGATTTATAAGTTGTAGACTATCCAGAGGATTGTGGAACCTAAAACACCATACAGTAATTCAAAATATATGAAATATTAAAAGAGCCATGAAAGAGGTGGGCAAATAACATCCAATTTATAGACTGTTGGGTAAAGTGAGAAGGGGAGAAGATCATAGACATTACAGTGATGAATTGTGACAAAAAGCGATACAGATTTACGGTAAAGAGCAACAGGATTGGGATATTTATTGGGAGACATGTCATCAGTGACCCATTTGTTCCTGTTAGGTTTTCTAACTCAAGAACATTTAAAACCTCAGACTTAAATTTTATATCTGAACATAATAATTGTAAGCACAATACTCGTGCTTGTTCTCTTCAAAATATAGGTTTGAGGACACATGGTATTATGACATACCCTGGTACTTTATAAGGCAAGTACAGGGGTCCATAAATATTGAAAGGCTACTGGACGCCAAATAGAGATGAGACCATCTTTTCCTCCAAAACATAACTCTTTCAGTCCACCCCATACCCAGCCTATCATATTCCCAACACCCCCACATTTCTGACCCAGATTAAGATTAGGGAGGAGACTTGTGAGGCAAATATAAGCCACTGACATTGGAACAGAGTACTTTTGCAATTAAACCCTCTTGAAAAATTTCCTCAACAATGGACACTTTTGAGATGTGGTAAGGGGAGTCAAGGAGGGAGAAGTTACCACATTTAATTTTTACTCTGAGTACTGTTGATGGCCTGTGCTTTGGCATACCTGGCCAGTGAGGATGGCAAATGGTATAATTTCAAGGGCACCAGAAGGCATCAAATATGGCAATACCTCAGAGCCTAAAATTCCCATTATTAATGTTACTACCAAAGCAAAGACATGCTTATGATGCTTTTAATATTTTTACTTAATTTAAAAATTAATATATGCATGAGATTTTAAAGGAAAAATATCCAACATTATAGTAGATATATAAAAAATTAAAATTCTTTTTAAAATTTTCATCAGTCTAGAATTCCATCCTTCAAAAATCTACTCTTAAAGCTTCATAGTTGTCTATCATTCTAGAATTGGATTATATATATTTTATACATTTAGTAGTATATGAGGTGGCTATCACTCACCCACAGGCTCTCCTGTCATGATGTGCTGCCTTCCCAAAAGGCCCAAACTCATGCTCATCTGGACTTGAAACTCTAGCCCTGTGAGATGAAATAAACCTTGCTTTACTTCATAAGTAGCTTTCATAAATGACAGGTATTTTGCTGTATTGATGGAAAATTGACCAATAGAGATTATCTAAGGAATTCTTTTGTCTTTTTCTCTTTTCTTATCCCCCCACCCCTGGTACTGGGAACTGAATCCAGGGCCTTTGTAAAGAGGTACCTCCCCATCTCTTTTTATTTTTTGAGACAGTGTCTTGCAAAATCATGAAGTTGTCTGGGCTGGGCTTGAATTAGTAATCTTCCTGCCTCAGTCTTCTAGAGTGTTGGGATGATAGGTGTACACCATCCTTCTCACCTCTAAAGAAGGTTTAAAGATCGAGATAAGGTAAGATAACATTCCGTAAATGGGGTTCTGTGGAACCCCAGTGCTGCGTCAGATGTCATTGGGAATTTGTTGAGTTCTAATGTCACTGAACACACAAAGCTCAGAGAATGGAATAGATTCAGCAGTGAACTCAGAAAGATCACAATACCTTCAGATGTTGGTCCCATCTTTATTCTCTGCCAGGGAGCTTGTCAAGGAGGGGATGGCTCTGAATAGTTCTATAACAGCTTTCCTTCCTTTTAATTGTTTTATGTTTTATTAAAATATATATATATCTTTAGACTCAGGACTTTGTTTCAAGACCTTATAAATAAGAGTATAGGCTGGAGAGGTAAGGAATGTATATTTTCTGCTCTCTGTATATATATGTATATTCAGGATTTTTGAGATCTAGTAAAAGTTCAAAGGAGCCTGGATGTGGCTTATTTGAAGAATTAAAAGATGAAAAGACACCCAAGAGAACAAATATGTCTGTCTTGATCAGCTCTTTATCTCCTCCCTAGCTTTCTGGTGTGTGGCAGGGATGGTCTAGAATTGATAGATGAGATCGTGGGTAGTTTTCACTCTGGAGCTTTGCATTTTCCTTGAGAAAAATTCTCTGAGTTAGGTTGTTCTAGGCCTGTAGAGGCAAAGAAGGAAGAATGCCACGAAGTCAACAAAATCTTAACCATTTTCTGGCCTCTGCACACTATAGTCTCAATTCTTATTGCCCCAGTGTTCAGGGATCATGGCCATTTGGGAAAATGTAGCTCCACAACTCACTATGTTATAGAGCTACATAAACTCTCTTGAATAGTTGGGTGCTCAAATAAGGTTGGGAACCACGAGGTAAAATAAAGTTGATATGTGTCTGTATTGTAGGGCCCTTTTGAGCTGTTAACATGCTAATCCGCACCTGATACTCTATGAGGGGGAAAGCATGTGCAGTAGGTTTCCACACACATTTCACTTTTTCTCTCCTCTATCTTTACCTACCCCTGCAGCAGAGAGCAACTGTGGACTACAGGCTGGTAAAGGGCAGAATTAGAGAAATTCTAAAATTGCTGTGATAGTTAATTTACGTGCTAACTCTTGTGGACCATGGGATGGCCAGATTTTGGGGTATACATTATTTTGGTGTGTGTCTATAAGGATGTTTCTGGACGATAGAAATATTTGAAGCAGTAGATTGAGCAGAGTCTATTGCCCTCCCGAATGTGGTTTGGAAACATATAATCTGTTAAGAATTTAAGTGAATGAACAGATGGAGAAAGGGCAAATTTTCTCTGCTTGACTGAGCCAGAACACTGGTCTTCTCCTGGTCTCAGACTGAGTCTTATACCATTAGAACTCCAAGTTCTCAGGACTCTGGACTTGCCTGGAACTTTGGTTCCTGTTGCTTGGGCCTTTGGACTTGGAGTTGAACTTACACAATTTGTTCTCTTGGTTCTGAGGCTTTGAACTTGGACTGGAACTACATTGCTGTTTTTTCTGAGTCTGTAGCTTGCAGACGGCAGATTGTGGGACTTCTTGGCCTCTAGAATGCAATAAGGCAGTTACTGGTAATAAAACCTGTATGTCTTATTTATCTATGCTGTATCTATAGATATAGATTGGTTGTGGCTTTCCTAGTAAGGGCCTACATTCCATTTGTATGAAATTTACTGTCGATTTCAGCACCAACACTGTGCCGTTGGTATGGCCTACTGCCACCAACGTGGCTGTCACTGCGACGGGGACGGAGCAGGCCTATATCACGATAGTAACAACCTTCGATAGTGAGGTGAGTTTTAAAAAACAGAAATTCATGGGTGAAGATAAAAAACAATTCATGTTTGGGGAGTTTGTGGGCCTTGTACAGAATCCAATTCTACTTTTTTTCAATCTGTTAGAAGTCACGGTACCATCTTAGCCATAATAAACATGGATCTGACTGCATGGGAGCCTCCAATGATAAGTTACCGAAAGGACTGTAGCCATCATCCTGTTAATTTAGGGCAAGTACCTGCATAATCTTCAACTTCCCCCAGAATGGTCTCCTAGCAGTAAAGCTCAAAGATTAATATGGATTCATAATTTTAAAAAAATGGATGTAAAACAGGGATCTGGGTCCCAACATCTATATGTACTTGCTGAAGAGGAACTGCCCAAATAAAGTGTGACAGGTAACGTCTCACTTAAAGTGTCTAAATGCTTCTAAGCCTTGCGGAATAAAATAGGTACATCGAAGAATGGCCATTGGTGCAGTGGAGGCCTGAGGATTATTCCCAGCATCTGTTTTCTTTCATCAGTAGGCTGTGTTAGACGAAGCTGCGTGTTCAGTATTCCACTGTTGTGGTAGCACAGAGACACAGTTAGGAGCACAGGCTTTGGAGTTAGGGGCCCAAAGCAAAATCTCAGGTATGCTGTGTTCCAGCTATGTTCATCTGGATACTTGGGCAGGGTTCTTATTGTAAGAATGAGAAGGATCAATGTGACAATACAAGTGCAAAACAGTGGGTGCATGGGCAGAGTGTGTGTTCAATACATGAAAGCCAGCTTCATTACCATCTTCATCATCACATCATCGTTACTGTCATATTTACAACCAACTGCTTGAATAGGTGCATTAAAATAACCTGACTTCTACTATGCTATGGCTGTGGTATACAGATGCATTCTAGTCCATTATAGGAAAGTGATTTTTTTTTCTCACCATGTTTCAGAGAGAGTTTTTTAAAGATGTTGGACTTTAGTGGTTTAGATGTGTAGTTGGCAAGAAGGGAGGGAGAAGAAACTCAGGTGTTGTATTCACATGAACTTGGTTTGAAAATACCTTTAATTCTGACCAGTTGAGTGTCCTTGGGGACCATGCATCAGTGGCTTTATCTATAAAATGGGGTTAATATTTCTGGGTTTCAGGAAGGAGTAACTGCCTGATAGCATTTAACAGTTTATAGCACATATAATTATGTTCAATAACTCATTAGTTCACGAACTGGATAAACTAATATGAATGCTGAGGGAATATATCACATTTCCTTTATAACACAGAACACTAGGCTAAAAGTGGCTGGCTTTAGTATTTCAGTGAACCCAAACAGTGCAGTTATATCACATCTCAGTTAACCTGAGCCACAGAATCATTTAACTCAGCTGAAAAGCCCAAACAATGTAACAGAGCCATCAGAATCTTCTGAGAACATATAGGTCACTCTGCCAGTACTAGTGTTATTGTTAGTGGCTAATTCCTAAAACGGGCCAAATCAGTGGCTACCTGGTATACCAGGGTTTTATCCAGGTTGTGGATTAAAACAGCCGGAGTCCCACCTCAGTTACTTTTTTCATTGCTGAGACAAAATACCTGACACCCAAAGTTAAAAGAGGAAAGTTTATCTAGCTCCGTTTGTGGGGATTTCAGCTGGTAATTGGCTGTCTCCAAGGAAGGGTACACATGGTAGAAGGGCAACAGATCTCAATGGGCACAGCAGGCAAGCAAGGGACCTTAACAGTGTTTTTCTGCCCCTGTTGTCTCTCATCCAGGCTACTCAGGACAGGTAGCATTCACACCCTAATCCTAGTGCCCTTGAGCCTAGTGCCACACCATGATTCTGTCCCAGTGTCGCACACTCTAGATCCAGCCACTTGACTGCGTGAAGCTTTGGGGGGACATCCAAACATAAACCATGACAAGTCCATGACAAACTGATTGCAAAGGTGTTGTTTTTCTACTCCTGCCAGGTTTCTGTTAGTCACCTGATCCTTCCACCAGGAATCACGACTGGTGAAGGAGTCTCAAGAGCGTTGACTTCAGCATCACCTCAGCTGCCAGCCAGCCCTGGGAATTTGGGTGGTTTCTGCTCTGGCTTGGCCTGCCTGGCAGAAGGAAGAGGAAGAGCGAGGGAACATGCAAGTCGCCTGTGGAGGAAGACATCTGAGGTGGGTCCTGAGATCGGGGCAGTTTCTGAGCAGAAGAGACCTCCTTGAAGTCCGGGGGTACAGAGATGTTGCTGTAGTGTTTACAGTGATGGAAACTGGAATCAACTAGGATGCCCATACAGGGGAATGGGGATTAATGGGGATGCATCTGTGTTGTCCTGGAATGTCGTCCCATTATTAGAGAGACAGAGCACAATCCTTTCACTCAGAGGAAGCTTGTCCCGTAAGAGGAGGAAGATGTAGAGAAGCAGGTGGAAAAACCACCTCTGTCCGTGTTTATTACTTCTTGTGCCCAGGACTGTGCTAAGTGCTTCTAACTAGGGTGAATTTGAATCTCACAGCCTGATGCACCTATTAGGCATTTCCCTGGAGAACTGAAGACGTTTCTTAGAAAGAGGAAGACGTTAAGAATCTCTTCCTGTATATACTGTGTGACCATCATTTGTTTTAAAGTGCATGTGAACTAGCTGAACTTGTTTGTCTGTGCCTTTTCAATTACTGGATTTAATTTGTGTTGTCTGACGGCTTTGCAAGAGAAAACAGCCTCATTGAGTCCTCAGGGCCCACACAAAGCACGCGCTGAAGACCAAACAGAAAGAAGGCACCGCTCACCACAAAATACCAAGAAAAGCCTTTTTCTCAAAAAGTATATTTTCAAGGCCGTAAGTGAAATGTACACTGCTTAGTAAAACCTGTACTTGAGTGGAGAGTCAAGGCAAAAAAAAAAAAAGACATGCAGAACAAACAACTCATGTTCCAAGAGTTCAATTGCAAATAATAAAAAATAATGTACCCATAGGTGGCTATATTAAAATATCCTTTTATAGAAAACAAATTGGAGTAAGTCCCAGAGGGTCAGACAGTGCCTTCTAATTATTATTATTTATAAAATATTGACAGTGCACAGGGAGTTTCAGGGCATGACCCTAATCCCCCAGGCTTTGCTTATTTACAGATGAATTCTGTACTCAGTAAGCAGGTCTGCCTGTGAATGCACTAAATACCATGTCTCAATGGGCTATGGCTGTTTGAAAGCAACTTCTAAATTAGGTAAGATTTATAGGCTAATTTCAGTACAAAACAGAAATAGTTTAAGTTGTTTTTAATTGTATGAAAGCAGTATCTTGTCAAGGTAGAAC